GGCCTAAAATACACAAATAATTTTGAAGAAAAAGAAAAAGATGATTGTACTCACTTGACTGGAAATAAGGACTTATTAGAAAGCTACAGTAAGATGGTTGTGCTACTGGCACACAGGTGAAAAATCAGTGAACAGAATAGAAAGGTCAGAAACAGACTCTTATTCTGCAGGGTAGTAAAGTAATGAAAATCTTCTCAACCAGTGTGCTGGAATAATTGGATAGCCATATATGGAAAAAGATGAAACCTAACCCCTTCCTCACACCATACTTATAAATCAATTTTAAAAGGAATGAACCTTCTAGAAGAAAATATAGTAGTAGAATGTCTTTAAACTCAAGGAAAATTTTCTTAATCAGGACACAAAAACACAAACTTTATAAAAGGAAAGCATAATACCTATGATGGTAATACAGCTAAGAACTTCTGTTAACCAAAAGATACTCCTAAGAGAGAGAAAAGGCAAATCACAGAGCAGAAAAGGTTTCTTGAAATACATATATGACCAAAAACAGAATGGAAATCAGAATACATAAAAAACTGCAAATCAAGAGAAAAAAGACAAATAATCCAGGAGAAAAATGGGTAAGAAAATTTAATAGTTACTTTACAAAAAAGGACATCCAAATACTTAATAATCTTAAGAAAACTTCCTCAATCTTATTAGTAATTACAGAAATGCAAATGAACACCACCATAATATGCCATCACACAAACACCCAATGGCTAAAAATAAAAATACTCAGAATTGCAAGTATTGAGGAAGATATGGAACACTTCGAGTGTACAATACCAGTGGAGTGAAAATTGGTACAACTGTTTTAGAAATAGGTGACATTATCAAATAAAGTTCAAGATTAATTACCCTAAGACAGAACCATTTCAGTCTGAGGTATATACTCAACAAAAATATAGCCACATATGCAACAAGAAATGTGTATTTTTAAAAGCAGCATCATTGGGCCAGGCGCCGTGGCTTACCCCTGTAATACCCCCGTAAGCTCTTTGGGAGGCCGTGGTAGGCAGATCACTTGAGGTCAGGAGTTCGAAACCAGCCTGGCCAACATGGTGAAAGCCTGTCTCCACTAAAAATACAAAGCAGCCAGGCATGGTAGCAGGTGCCTGTAATCCCAGCTACTCCAGAGGCTGAGGGACAAGAATCGCTTGAACCTGGGAGGCTGAGGTTGCAGTGCAACGAGATCGTACCACTGCACTCCACCCTGAGTGACAGAGTGAGACTCCGTCCAAAAAAAAAAAGCAGCATTATTTATCATAGTAAAATTTGGAAACAACCCAAATGTAAAAGAAAAAAAAAAAAGAGATTCCATTTGCAGTCACAATTTGTGTAGGAATGAATTTCTGAAAATATATGCAAAGACTTGATGAAGAAAATATAAAATATTATTAAAGAATGAACAAAATCAATCACATGTATAACTTAATATCACAAAGTTGTCAGTTCTCTCAAGTTAATCTATAAATTCAATGTAGTTCCAATGAAAATCCTAAACGTGTTTTATAATGGAACTTGACAAAATTATTTTAAAATTTAATGTATGAATAACGTTCCAAGAAGAGCAAGACAATTCTGCCTCTATCAAACTACAATATAAAGCTACAATAATTACATAAGTGTGATATAGAGAACTTAGAAACAATTTTGAATATTTGTAGAAACTTGGTATATGATTGAGAGGAATTACAAATAAATGGAGAACAAAATAGCATGCAATTGATGGTGTTAGGACCATTGGCTATCTATATGAAAAAAAAAAACTTCCCCCAAATTTCAATTAGATTAAAGACCCAAATATTAAAAATGCAACTTGAAGATTTTTGAAGAAATGTAGAATATCTTTACTACCTCAGTATAGGGGTGAATTTCCTAAACATGACAGAAAAGCATGAAATACATACACACACATAGACTAACACATTTTACTACATTCAAAATTACGAACTTCTTTCCAGCACAATGTAATCCCAGCACTTTGGGAAGCTGAGGCGGGTGGAACATTTGAACTCCAGGAGTTTAAGACCAGTCTGGGCAATATAGGGAGACCTTGTCTATATAAAAAATACAAAAATTACCCAGGTGTGGTGGCGCATGTCTGTAATCCCACCTACTCAGAGGAGTTGAGGCGGGAGGATCACTTGAGTACAGGGAGATTGAGGCTGCAATGAGCCGAGATTGAGCCGTTCTACTCCAGTCTGGGTGACAGAACGAGACCGTGTCTCAAAACAAAACAAAAATTTACAAACTTTTATACGACAAAATAAATCACAATCAAATTAAAAAACACACACACACACAGTGGGAGAATATACTTGCAATACTAAGAGAAATTGACATTCAGATTCTTTAAAGAACTCGTATAAATCAATAATAAAGTATTTCTACTATCCTGATACTACTGGTAACCTGCAGGCAGCAACCAATCAGAAGACAGCCAGACTAATACGAATGAATATTTTAAAAAAGAGGCTTCTCTGGTGCATACCAGCTGGATATTCTCTAAACAACCCCAAAAAATCAACAAAATATTAAGTGAACACTTACATTATGCAAACCCCTTCTCAGCAAAAGTTTTTAGAAAAAAGTCAAATTTCAAATCCTTCAAGCAAGGAATTAGCATTAGTTAATAGAAAACTGATGCTACTGCTTGGTAATAACGTTTTAGTTTGAGCAATGTGAAATGGCCATTTTTAAACCAAAAGATGGTTAAAAAACTGGCAACTTCAAATGATTCAACCTCTATCTTCTTAATTTAACTATGGTATTGTAAATTGCCAGTTTATACAGAATATTCAAACCTGTAGAGCTAAACACTGAACCTGTATATTAACTAATGGGCTTGAAACTAGTTCTCAATAAGACTAAAACTTCATTTTACTGAATTATATAAGTCAGTTTACAGTGTTATGTTTTCCTGGAATTTGATATAAAAATGGTTTTACAGCCCTCTAAGAATGTAATTCTTCATGTTTGTCAAAAATTGTGAAATATCCTTACATGATTATTCAAAGCCTAAACCTGAATGAGAGAAAATCTAACTGAACTTAAATTGTTTGGTTTTACAAGTGGCCTTTCTGCCCATTTTAACCCCACCAATATAAACTTCTTTGTATCATTACACTAGAAAAAGTCCAGTATAATTTTTGAAACAGCATCTCTGGGTTGTTCCCTTAATCTAAAAGATTCTCACCAAGTTTAAGAACAACCTTAAATAAAAACAGATATATTGACCAATGGAACAGAATAGAAAGCCCCAGAATAAATCCACCCATTTTTCAGCTGATCTTCGACAAAGGTGCCAAGAATCCACGATGAGGAAAGGACAGTCTCTTTAACAAACAATACTGGGGAAACTGGATAACCACTTGCGGAAGAAGGAAATTGCACCCTATCTCACCCAGTATACAAAAATCAACTCAAAGTAAAGACTTAACTGTGAAACTTGAAAATGGAAAACTACTAGATGAAAACATAGGGGAAAAGCTTCTTGACATTGGTCTGGGCCAAAATTTTTTGGATATGACTGAAAAGCATAGGCAAAAAAAGAAAAAAATAGACAAATGACATTGTATCAAACTGAAAAGCTTTTGCACAGCAAAGGAAACAATTATAAAGAGACAACCTACAGAATGGGAGAAAATACCTGCAAAGCATATATTCGAGAACAGGGTAATTTTTTTTTTTTTTTTAAAAAGGAACTCAAGCAACACAATAGCAAGAGAACAAGTTACTTGCCTAAAAAATGGGCAAACAACCTGAAAAGATATTTCTCAAAAGAAGACATATGAATGGCCAAGAGGTATACGAAAAAATGCTCAACATCATTAATCATCAGGAAAAGCAAATTAAAACCACAAAGAGATATCCTCATACCTGTTAGGATGGTGACTAACAAAAAGACAAAAGAAGAGTTGGTGAGGATGTAGAGAAAAGAGAACCCTCTTGTACACTGTTGGTGTGAGTGTAAATTAGTAGTTATTATGGAAAACAGCATGGGGATTCCTCAAAAAACTAAAAATAGAACTACCATATGATTTGGAGATTCCACTTCTGGGTATATATCCAAAGGAAATGAAATCTGCACTCCCATGTTCACTGCAGCCTTATTCATAATAGCGAAGCTATGGAGTCAATCTAAATGTCTGCATGAATGGATAAAGAATATCTGCTATATATAAATAAGAACATACTATTCAGCCTTAGAGGATATCCTGTCACTTGAGATAATAAGGATGAAACTGGAGACCGTTATGTTAAGCGAAAGGAGCCAGGCATAGAAAGACAAATATTGGATGTCTCACTTATTTGTGGACTCTAAAAAAGTCAAATTCATAGAAGCAGAGAGTAGAATGGTGGTTACCAGGGGCTGGGGGGAACAAAAAGGAGGGATTGTGGAGATGTCAGTTAAAGGATGCAAAATTTCAGTTAGACAGGAAGAACAAGTTCAGGAAATTCATTGTACAACATGGTGACCACAGTTAATAATAATATAGACTTGAAAATTACTCAGAGAGTGCAATTTAAATGTTCTCACCACAAAAAAGTAAAAAGTATGTGGAGTAATGCATATGTTAATTAGGTTGATTTAGCCATTTTACAATGTTTACATATATCAAAACATCATGTTGTATGCCATAAATATACTTTTTATTTGTTAATTTAAAAATAAAAATAGCAGCCTTAAATAAAAGTACTCTGACACTCCAAAATTAAAGACTTTGTATTTTGAGAGATATAAACTGGCAAACGAAAAATAAAGATATCCAAATAGTAGAAAAACAAGGGAAAATATGCTCAACCCTCCTTAGTTCTTTTTTCCTTCCCTTCCTTATCCCCTCTCTATCTCCTACTCTTGCTCCTCTCCTCTTTCCTTTCTCCTTCCCTTCTTTCAGTCTTAGAGCTAATATTTTTAAATGCTAACAATTACTAATACTTAATAGCAACACATATCTTGTTCTTGTGCTTTACATGTATTTACATGTCTTTAGAACGGGAGGAATAAAAAGGAAAACGTTATTACCTTTGCCTCCTTTACAGTGAATCACTATGATGTTTTCAGGATCTTGAGCCAGCCACTCCTCTACTTCCTTGGAGAATCCTACCATCTCCCTGATTTCAAGTTTAGGATTTTTAGTTGAATTAAAATATTTTCAAAAAATCAAGCCCAATATATTTAGCCCCCTTCTGATAGTCAACGTAGCATAAAACTTACCATAGAGTGGGGACATTATGATCATCAATCATGATTCTACTGACCCTATTATGGAAATGCTTAGGATCATAAGCTCTTTCACCTAAAATAAATAACATGTATGTCATATCTCTCTATATAATAACACAGTAAATGATGAAGTTATGAATCATATAAAATATCTTATTAGAAATTCCCTATCCATTTCAAAAGGAGCTTTCCAAGTTGCTCCTGCTGCTCTAAATAAAATAAACTTAAGGGTCTCAAAAACAGAAGGATAGTAGTGGATTATCCATCTCACGTCACCTAAACTCAACTTATTTTGGTTTAATAGGTGTAATTTTTAACTTTCTAGAAGACTATTCATTATATTATTGCAGGGTAGTTAGAAACCATGCAAGAGGCAAATGTAGCTGGCCAAAATGATTGCCCCCAGTCTATTGAGTATACAGGTAGAGAAAAAAATTAAGACAGAGTGGTAAGCTGGGTTGCGACCGATTTTCTAAAGAGTTGTTTTGCTTTTTTCCCGTCTGCGGCCCTGCTCTCATCATAACCCACTGCTAATGGGTCAGGGGACTCATTTGTTAAATTGTCTATGTCCTCGTAACACAATCTGGCAGGAAAAACAGACAGATTTTCCTAAACCTAGTATCGCCAGATCTTCCCTAAAATGGTTTGCCTCCACTCTAGCCTCATTAGTCCTGCCAGAGCTGCCTCCTTCATAAGGGTACTCTGTGCTCCTGGGCTAACTCCTTCTACCAAATGGGGCCAGTCCAAGATAGGGATTTTTAAATTCCTTCTGCACCAGCGCCAAATACTTATGATTAAATGCAATGTAAAAAACAAAATCATCTTCTTACATTCAGTAATCTGTTTTCTATCTACAGTAGCAATATACAGAGTAATGTACATACTGCATAGATTGTAGACTCGATAGTGGTTTGGATGTTTCTTGTCTAGAAACTGTACAACTTCCTAAAACAGAGAAACACATATTTTACATATTTGCGTGGCACCAACATAAGCCATTTCCTAGGAGGAACCTAAAATGGTTATTACTTTCTATTACTTTGTCTCTCACTAGCATCTTCTAGAGGAGACTCAGGGAATACAAGGGTATGCCAATTTCAAGTTCTAATCCACTGTGGTATTTCAAATAGTCCACAAATATGTTTGACTACTCAGATTAGCCTCTATTGTAAATACATACTGTTTAAAGCTATCAGAAAAGTACATTAGATGGTTAACGAACTTTAAGTAAATTTGTTCCAAACCATTAATTCACAGTTAATGTGATTTTTATTTAAATCTAATTCATATTGGTTCTTATTTAAATTTAATTCTGAATAGGTATGTCTTTTAGATAGTGATTTGAATATTACATTCTACCTAAGCACTATGTAAGCAAATAAATGCAAAAAGTATTACAGTACGATTGTGTGTGTGTATGCATGATAGAAAAAGACAAACATATCAATTTATAAATAACTGGTAACTATATGGAGACTTTTTTGGCTCACCTGTTCTCTTAGTTTTTTAATGAAGATATATATGTACCAGTAAGTGTGTGTGTGTGTGTGTGTGTATGTATAACCTTTCCAATGAAAAACAAATAGTAGTTATTATTTGAAATATAGTTAATATAACTATATGAATCCAACAATATTTTCAGGAAATATATCTTTCTGAAACATACACACATACACACACATATGTATATATCTCTATGTTACAACAAAAATGACACAAAATTTCAAAAACTGATTAGTATGGTACCCTCAGAACAATGTTTACTGGCTTAATATTGAGGAAAAATAAAATTAAGGCATCGAAGTCATCCATTTATTAAATTGGTTATCTATGTTAGGAGGAAATAATAAGTCAAAAAGATGAATACCCTGAATCTGCATAGTGGCAGAGGGGAAGGATTAAACATTTCACATACTTCAGAATTCATGAATTTTCTTACATAAAATCCATAGAGGTTTAGAAATTACATATTAAAAACTACAACTATCTATGAGAAACTTAAGTGAATTTTAATCAATTCTTTGGATGAGGAAGAACTAAAAGTGTTGAATCAATGGAAGATCAATAGCCTTGGGTTTGACTTCATAAAATTCTGAAATTTCTGTTTAAAAATGCTATAATGAACAATAGGGGAAAATATTTTTTTCAGAAAAATGGACTGTTGGGGACTATATCTAGGATAATAAATTAATAATTCATTAACAACAACTTAAATATTACTCCCTCACCTTATAGATAAATGGGCCAAGGACATAAACAATCCATAAAAGAGAAAATCAAACTGATTAACAACCTACATAAATATTCAGTGTCGCCAATAACGAAGTCAAAACAACAGTGACATGACCTTTGCACCCATGAAATTAGCCCTTTCTCTTTTAATGAGAAAATCCAATGCTGGCAAAATAAGACATGACATTAAAAACTTTGATTTATTGTTGATACAATAATACAATTGCTCTTGGATTTGGCAATATATATTAAGAACCCTAAAAATACTCATTCTCTTTAACTAGGTAAGTTCACTTCTAACAATCTGTACAGAAAAAGCCTTATGCTCAAAGATATCTGTTGCTGTATTATTGATAATAGTGACACTTAAATGTCCAACATTAGAGGTTAATCATAGCACTAATGAAATATCATGCAACCATTAGAATACTGTCCTGTTCTTCATTCTCTCAACCAGTAAATATCTCAATACAGTAATTTATGTGCAGTCTTCTTTAGTATACATATATAGAAAAACAGCTGGCCGGGTGTGGTGGCTCATAGCTGTAATCCCAGCACTTTGGGAGGCTGAGGTTGGTGGACCATGAGGTCAGGAGTTCAAGACCAGTCTGGCCAAGATGGTGAAACCCAGTCTCTACTAAAAATATAAAAATTAGCCAGGCACGGTGGCAGGTGCCTGTAATCCCAGCTACTTGGGAGGCTGAGGCAGGAGAATCTCTTGAAGCTGGGAGGCGGAGGTTGCAGTGAACCGAGATTGCACCACTGCACTCTAGCCTGGGTGACAGAGCAAGATTCCACCTCAAAAAAGAAAAAAAAAAGAAATGAAAAAGAAAAACAGGCAATATTTGCTTTTTCGTGGGAAGACAAATATCCCTGGAGGGTTAAACTTTAGGGATTTTCTGAATCCCCTTCCTAGTTTTCTCAATGTCTAAAATTAAATTACATATATATATACACATATATATGTGTGTGTATGTGTGTGTATACAGTTTTTATAATTATATATGTGTATATATACTTTTAATAATTATATTATATAGAGAGAGAGAGACTCAATATATTGATGATTTACTGCTGTGTTTCCTGATCTAAGTAGTTTACTGAAGGCTCCAAATACCTCTTATTCAAAGGTGAAAAGGGACATAAAGAATCTAGAGAAAAGGTGAACTCTGCAAAGAATCTACATTTTTTTGGTCACAAGCTGTCACCAGATGGATAGTTTCTATTTTCAACCAGAATAAAGAGCATTCAATTCTACCAAGAACAGAAATTAAAAGATGGCTAAGAAGATTTTAGGACTGTAGGTAATTGTATATCTCATATCTCAGCCTTTGCATGGGCTTACTAACTTTAAAATTTCTGATGCAACTTCCTTGTGATGCAAAAGTAGAAAATACTACTCGGTGAAAGCCTTCTTGCAACAATCTCCACCTTCGGGTTTTCCTAAATCTGCTCAACTCTTCTCTCTGCCTATCTTAGTACATTCCTTGATTTGGAGGCAAAGGTACACCCTCTGTACCTGCATGAAGTGGTAGCAGTGGCCAAACTTGTTGATGCTTCCACCACAGTGCTTGTGTGTCCACTAACTCTATGGGTCTCCCATCTCTTAAAGTTTCTGCTACTTCAAGGCAGCATCTGACATTTCTCCACTAGTAAATTTACCACTTATGAAATTGTAAGGTCTGCTTTGCATATTCAATATTGTTTGAAATGTAACCCTGCAAATTTATTATCTTTTAAGAATAAAGAGGAATCGCATGACTGTTTAGCATCCTCTCAGGAGCTAAGTATACCCGGATTTGAATCATGTACCTTTTAGTCAGCCTTGATTTAATACACACTGTGGATGGTTCTCAAAAATGACAAAGGCATTCCAAGCGCAGAATATGCTGTTGTCATTGAACATGCAATGACTGAAGTGTTCCATGGCCTAATTCTCGGCCTGTCCAGGTAGCTGAACTAGTAGCTTAGATTTGGGGCTGCGCTCTGGCAAGATGAAAGACTAAATATTAATATAGACAGTAGATTTACTTTTTGGGTGGCTCATGATTTGTGACATTTATTGAAACACATGATTTATTACCTCCTTTTTGGATACTCTCATTAAAAATGGTAAAGAAATCAGTGAGCCATTAGTACTTTGTCAATACCCTAAAGAGATAACAGTTTAATAACAGATAGAAACCAATAGTCTAGCGATCACCCCACAAGGAAATAGTAATGTCTTTGTTTTGATTTACATGCTAAGTGAAGTTTTTGGCTTTTAAAAATGCCCCAGCTAATATTAAGTGTTGCCAAATTGATATTAGGCACCACCAAAACTACTAAAAGAAAATTGACTCAATTTAGACATGCCATAATTAACTCACAGTTATTAGCTCAACCGGCTTTAAAAATCAATATTAGCAATCAAAAGATGCTTTACCCATAAAGATGGAATTTGGGGATGGCTGCCCTCAAGTGGCATGACCCATCCAATGGACCCTGGTCACGTTACTCCATGACTGTTCCCATTATGGGAGAGGAAAAGTAATTCCACCTCAAATAAACAGTTTGAAACAATTTTCAAAATTGGCCAAGGGTGTGGTAGAATCATGTCTTAGCTGGGAATAGCATAACCTGGGTGAGATGTGGGTCAGATCCTTCTCTTCAAGGTCTTTGGGTATTTACAAATGCATTTTTATACAACTGCTGAAGCCTTGTGTTTCTGACTATATAGTAGTTATTTCTTGTAAACTATCTGCATGTATAAAAATGCTTCCCTGCCTGAGAAAAAGGTAGAATGATTCCATCAGTGGTCCCAATTCTTCATCTTTTCCTGAATCCCAGCCTTCACATTTCACTTTGTAGTGCCCTTTCACTCTAACTTTTGGTTCTATTATGTGAGTTGACTTGGTCAATGGGATGTCACAAAGGAGAGGCCTGCAAAAGCACTCGTAAGATTCCACTCTAGCTCTTTCCTTTTGCCATTACCCTGAGACATATCCATCATATTCTTCCTGATGGAGGATGAAGATGAGTTCAGCAGATAGGAGTTATCCAAGACACCAAAGCTAAGGTAATCGTAGACCAGGAGATAAAGACATTTCAAGGAAAGAAAATTTCATATCACTCACGCACATAGATGAAAAGTTCTAAATAAAATATTAGCAAACAGAATCTAGTGATATATAAAAAAGACAGTACATTAAGACCAAAGGGAGTTTATTCCAAAAATAAAAAAGGTTGGTTTAACATTTGAAAATCTCATTAAGGGAAAAACACAAAAACACTTTGATTACCTTGATAGATCCAGAAAAAATACAGAATCTACTCAACACCAATTCATGATTCAAAACTTTTAGCAAACTAGAAATAAAATGGATTGTCTTAATCTGGTAAAGAATGACTACAAATGCCTATAGCAAACATCATTTCAAATAGCGAGGTATAAAATTCCTTCCACCTGAGTTTGGGAATAAGGCAAAGCTGCCTCCTCTTACCATTTCTATTCAATATTACAGTGAAAGTCTTAGATAATTCAATGAGGAAAGAAAAAAAGTATAAAAACTGGGAAGAAAGTAGTAACTTTATGATTGTATACATAAAATCCCAGGGAATCTACACCTTAATTATGAAAATGAATGTGTGAATTTATGAGGGATGCTAGATATAAAGTTAATATACAAGGCCAAGTGTGGTGGCTCACATCTGTAATTCCAGCACTTTGGGAGGCTGAGGTGGGAGGATTGCTTGAAACCAGGAGTTCGAGACCAGCCTGGGCCAGTGAGACCAGTGAGACTCCCTGTCTACAAAAATTAATTTAAAAAAAATTAGCCAAGTGTGGTGGTGCCTGCTTTT